CGAGCCAGCCCCAGCCCTCGGAGGAGAAGCCAGGGAGGCACCACCGACCCTATACCCAATACCTGGTGGTTGCCCATTTCCATAGAAACCGAGGATGACTGGATGCAGACCCTCAAGGTGACTATGGAAATCGCAGCCCGGAAGAGCATTCCCCGGTGGCCCTGATTTTATTACCAGTACACAGAAGGAAAACCCCTTTTGAGAGTTTTACCCCTGCCACATCCCTTTCGAAATGCTCATCCCCTTGAAATTTCTGCTGCCGCGTTCTTCTTCAAACCAACTTATTACGGCTGGCTGGTAACTGAGGTGACTGTTGTTTGCATAAACCTTAATTATCAGTGTGTAACTCCACAGAGACTGTGGGGAGAGAAGAACAAAGGACAAAAATGATGAGGAAATTCTCCGAGCTGCTGTGAGAGTGCCTTAGCAAGCCCATAGTCAAGGGCAGGCTGAATCTGGCTGACTCCCAGGAGAAAGGAGCATGACACAGATTTATCATCAATCTTCACACCCCAAACTTTAATTAAGGCACCTGCCCAGAAATTAATAGGCACAAAACCTGATTTACGAAGCAAAGGAGATTAAAAGATAAAGGAAGTTTCCACTCCTATTATTTGCAGTTCAGCACTGTTAATGGCTCATGGAGAAAAGCGCACTCAGAGTCCCCACAACGGCAAGCAGCATGCAGGGCTGGAAGGCTCCACAACAGAGCCATTAAGATACAGAAAAAAATGGCATGCATCTGTAAAAAGAAGCTTTTGGACTTTTAATTTAGATTTTTAGGATCAGAGCTCTGCCCCCATACGGCAACTTCAGCAGGCGCAGAGAGTCCCCACAGAGCAGGCACGTTGTCCCCTCTGTGCTGGATTTTGGGGACAGCGTTCATCACCTTGAGGACGAGACCCTTCACTAGGGAACCCGACATGGCCCCTGGGATTTCAGCCGGGCCACAGTCCCAGTGCTGAGCCCAGTTAGCGGCAGTGCCTCAAGCATGGAGCAGCTCCAGGGCTCCCAGCCGCCGGCAGGCACCAGGTGGGCACAGAGGTGTGGGAGTGCCAAGGGGTGCACTGCACCCAAACACCTGGGAGCTGCAAAAACCTGCCCAGGGACCTCAGATCTGGCGGTAAGAAGGAAGACTTGGTCTAAAAATCCTGGCTGAACTGCTGACGCTGGGCTGAGCCTAGCTTTGCTCCGGGCAGAGGGGAATGTGGGTGTTGCTGAAGATTGCCTGTGCTGAAGACATCCTCTGGGGAGGGCTGAGTTTGATCCCGGGGACACGGTGATGATGAGGTTGTGGAATGAGGATGGGGGCCTCCAGCCCCTGCAACAGGCTGGGAGGCAGCTGGAGCCGAGGCACAGACGGCGGGGAGGAGGGAGAAACGCAAGAAGAAAGTGAGGCATCCTTGGCTGCCTCGCAGGCATTGCTCTGC